AGAGAGAGAGAGAGAGAGAGAGAGGCCAGATTATTATGACCACCTGACATTTGTAGGCAAGTTAGCTATAATTTTGCGCTGAAGTTGCTAGAGGGCCAGACCATTATAAATAGGGAAACAGGTTGTTTACCACGACAGGAGAAGTGATTTTTTTCTGAAGATATGGGTAAACAACACAATTTAACAGCCTTTGAATGTGGGATATATATAAATACACACACACACACACACAATGACCGGGGGACAGAGTATTATGACCATCTGACATTTGTAGACAAAAATAGCCCATACACTGCATCATATGTTATATGGAGAGCCGAGGGACGTATTCAAACACGTTTGCGCGACTGCAGTACTTACAATAAAACTACATCCAGTTGCCTCAGGACCCCCTGAATGGGGCCCTTCTGCACCTGGAAAGCATTGAAAAAAAGTCATGTGGTCCTAATGAATCACGTTTCCAGTTGCATCATGCAGATGGCAGAGTGAGAATTTGGGCGGAAACAGCATGAAAGCCCTACACCCCACATGCATGAGTACACCCCTTCAAGCTGGTGGGGGCAGTGTTATGGTTTGGGGCATGTTTTCCTGGCATGATTTGGGCCCTTTAATTCGTGTGGAACAACGTCTGAATAGCACAACATACCTAAGTATCGTTGCTGATCAAGTTCATCCTATCATGGTGATGGCGTATCCCAATGGAGATGGCTTCTTCCAACAAGACAATGCACCATGCCACGGTGCTCGTATTGTGTAGGAGTGGTTTCAAGAACATGAGGGAGACTTTACCTTGCTTAGGTGTCCCCCACAATCACCAGATCTCAATCCAATTGAGCATTTGTGGGACGAAGTTAAAAGAGCCATCAGGCAGCTGGTTCCACAACCATCAAATCTCACAGAACTGGACAGTGCTTTTCATCAGGCATGGTGTCAGATTCCTCACATCACCTTTCAACATCTCGTGGAGTCAATGCCAAGAAGAATCGCCGCAGTATTGAAGGCAAAAGGTGGCCCAACAAAGTACTGATGGGGTGGTCATAATAATCTGGCCACTCACGTTCAAATATAACCCACGTTCAATGGCTGTTAAATCGTGTTGTTTACCCATATCTTCAGAAAAAAATCACTTCTACTGTCATGGTAAACAACCTGTTTCCCTATTTATAATGGTCTGGCCCTCTAGCAACTTCAGCGCGAAATTATAGCTAATTTGCCTACAAACGTCAGGTGGTTATAATAATCTGGCCACTCAGTGTGTATGTGTGTGAGTGTGTGTGTGTGTGTGTGTGTGTGTGTGTGTGTGTGTGTGTGTGTGTATATATAAATATAGAGAGAGAGAGATTAGAAAATGTAAGAAAAAAGTAGTTTTCTATGGGCGGAGTGGCCAAGTGCTAAATGTTACTGAGGTCAGAAAGAGGTGAAGATGAAAGAGCTCTTACTGATTGCCGAAATATGGAAATCTTTGGTGGCATTAGCAGTTTGAATAGAGAGGTCAAAATGAAAGCCAAATTGGAGAGGATGGAAGAATAATTGGGGACAATGAAGTGAAAATTTGTGTAGGTAACTTGAAAAATTTGATTGTAAAGAATATTAGAAAGATAAGCTACAGATGAAAAATGACCTTGGAGGAGTTACCATGCCTCAGATTTTTCATCTGTGCGTATGTTATTTTTATTTTTTAAATATATTTTTTATTGATTTCAGAGAGGAATGGAGAGGGGGAGAGATAAAAACATCAATGATGAGAGTCATTGATCATCTACCTTCTGCATGCCCCACACTGGGTTCAAGCCTGCAACCCGGCATGTACCCTGCCCTGACCAGGAATCAAACTGTGACCTCCTGGTTCATAGAGAATTGGAACCATGACCTCCTGGTTCACAGGTTGATGTTCAACTACTGAGCCATGCCAGCTGAGCTATGTGTGTATTTATAATTGGATATATTGGCATGTTTGCTAAGGAATTCAGTACTAGTCCAGTTAAATAGCCTCTTTTTCTGACCAGTTAATATTAGCCTAATCAAAATGCAGACCAGGCAAAAAGTCTGCCTCAGGTGTAAACAGTTCAGCAGAGAGAATAAAGACCTAAATATCTCAGCTTCTGCATCTAGTATCTCAGAAGGCAGTTCTAAACCTAAGTGGGTACACCTACATTCATTAAAAGCTAACTCTTTGGCACCCATATGATACCCAATCTTCAGTTACCTAAATCCTTGTATTACTTTGATTTTCATCCTAAGGAACTGAACCAGAAGGACACAGTTATTTTAATACAGTTTGGGTTTTGTTTTTTTAAAGTCCTCCACAATATACACTAGTATTTGTGGTCATATTTTTCTGATTGAAGAACATTAATAAGACCATCCACAGCCAAGGCAATTATTCCCAAGGAAGGGCTAAAACCCTCCCTCCCCACCTCCCACTTACCCACTTAGACATCAACTTGACATTTCCTAAGAATTTTGCCAAAGGTCCCCATCAGGGATCACCTAATAGCAAGCTATGACAGAGATTCCTAACCCTGGCTCTACTCCGCCCCAATTCTGCTTTCTTTTGCCTCTACAGTGTTTAGATTTATTGCTAGGCACCACTCCTTTGTCATAATGAATGTGGTAGCAGAAAATAGATCCCATACACATCCAGGTGATTCTGCCATGAGAACCTCAGTCTTCCTACATTGTAGGGCTTTTGAGCAGTAATCTAAAATTCACCTGACCTACAAGCCTTTGATTTGGAGGATCCAGAGTCTTTAATTATTGACTGTTTTATTATCATATTGTTATTGACACAAAACACTTTGCGACCAAACAAGCAAACTATAATGCAACAAGGTCAGCATAACTCTGTGAGTACAAAACCTGAACTGGATTCAGGAATAGAATTCTATTTCTAGCCTTACCCTTGACTCACACTATGCATGACCTTGGAGGAGTTACCATGCCTCAGATTTTTCATCTGTAAAATATCTACTTCCTACCTTGGAGGATTAATTTGATGATATCTGTAAAGTACTTTGAGGTCTTTGAGGAAGGACACTGCAGCATTATCACATGTCATTCTTATTAGAATTATGTCAATGTATATGAATAGAAAGTGTGAACAGTAGTCTAAGGAGTGAGCTTTGAGTAATATTGGCTTAAAATAAAGCAGATATAGTTGTGTCGGTGCTGAAAATGTGAATGACGCTAAAAGACTGTGTTAACTAACCCTACTTATTTCTGGTTGTGCTTCAATCTCACTTTGAATGTTAACTCTAAACCGCTAACCTGTTTCTTTCCCTTTATTCACTTTTTCCACCTACCATTGCATGCCATGCAGGGTCAGTTTTGTGCATGACACCCGCTACCAGTATTGGTAGGTTTCAACCTTTTTTTATTTGTCTTTTATATTATGTATAATACTTCACTTGCTTGAAATTTATTTCAGAGATGGTAGAAATGCTTTAGGAAATGGTAGATCTGAAGGCTTATTTGGCTTTAGAGTTAATGTATAGGTTTGTTAAATGTACTTGTCTATTTAAGAAAATGACTGTTTTGATGTGACTAGAACAACCACTGTGCTAGGACAACCACTACAAAACATAAAACCACAAGTATGAGTCTGTTTTTAAATGATCTGTATTTTGTTTTTCTTTATAGCTTATATGGTTTAGCAAAAGAAAAAAAAGCTTAATCAGAGAGGCAGGCTGATTTCATCAATGTTTTAAAGTTTCATGGTGGTGTGCCTTTATCTCCTCTTTGCTGTGTGTTAGAATTATCAGAGTTTCCCAGAAGTATTTATTTTTAAAAAATTATAAATGGATGTATTTTGAAAACAAATATCTGGCCTTCCTTGCTTATTATTCTTTTTAATTTTAAGTGTTGATTTATTTGCAATGAATATTTGTACATTAGCATCCCCTTGGCATATTAACCTTAATAGTATATAGTTATCCCCATACATCCCCGCGCCTTGGTGCAGAAGCCTGTCTTTAGGACACATGAATCCATCCCATTTAGAGTAAAGGAAAGTAAGCCTTGGCAACACTTGTCTGGCTACTTCGCAGTAACTGTGTTAAAATGTACATCAAGGCCATGATGTTTGCTCTATAGTTTATTGACTCATATAAACCACAATCCCTGGTCATTTCAGTTCAAACAAGTAGCCCCAAATTGACCAAAAACCAATTTTTTCAACTTAATCACAAAATTCTGAAGAATATCATATCCCAAATTAGGCCTACATATTGTATCTTTGATATTTTGGAAGTATGATTAACAATGACTATCATATACTCTTACTTAATTGGACATTACATTTCACTTGTTTAGAAGCAACCTTTATTACAAACACTATAGACTCTGAATTGGGAATGATCTATTGTTAGAAGTAAAATGTTTGTAAATACATCAACCAAAGTAATCTGCTTTGGCCTTTCTGGGAATCACTGATTATGTTTTAAAACTTCCTTTAATTGTACTTGTAATAAGCTATTTTCCCTTTTTTATTTCTCTCCCATGCTTCCTTGCTTTGCATTGTGATTGCATGCCATCTGCTGGTTTAACCCATGATGGCTTGCTGCTCTGATATTCACCATGCCAAAATACCACTTCTATTACCATAATGCTACACCCTCCTGTTCATTGCTCCCATGGTTCCCCTCCTGAAAGTACCCATGATGCACAGCGCTACGTCAGCCACTGTCTCTGCAGCAACAACTCCTGCAACAAGTGTCCCCTTCGCAGCAACAGCCACAGCCAATCAGGTTTGCTCCTTTTAAAGCTTTCTTTCACAAATCCCAAACTCTAAATGAGTGCTGATATTTAAAAAAAAAATTCTCGGTGAGAATTTTTTTTTCATGTTTATCCATCAAATTTTATTTTTTTAATTAGTTTATAGCAAGCATTTATGGACAGGTTGCACTTATTTAGAGTTAACATTTACTGCAAATAATGATGTAGCTATGTTTTGTGTTGCACTGTTTGTTTTCGTACCTAATATTGTGTAATTAACCTGACAGGCTTAAATTCCTTTTAGTACAGCATTATGTATCCAGTGGTTTGTGAATCGCCACAGAGAAATTACAAAAGCTCTCCCACAGGTGCTTCAAAACTGGCTAATTTTGATTCAGTTCAATTCAGACCCTATCCGTCTGTTATGGAGGAAAACAATTCTCCTCTTAGAAAAGTCTCCCCTTTTTCTGTAGTTTCAAATTTGAGGTCTGAATGATTCTTGTTAACATTTCACCTTGGCCATATGTGCTTCCAAACTCACTTGGTTCCCACTTTACAATCTGTTCAGATACCAGCATAAGAGCCAAACTATTGGAAGAAGAAGACTTAGAGGCACTGAGTTCACAAAGGCTGGATATAACTGTTTAGGGACGTTTAACTCTGTTGGTTTAATGCATGTGCCAATAAGACATGGATGTAGTATTTTTCAGTGAGGGCCAGTTGGCTACTTCCCACTCCCTAGTCACAGGTTGCCTGCAATCCTGACCACAGCAAACAAGTGCTCCTGGTTTGGGGATGCACATGAGGATGAGTCAGCATAAACTCTTACCTGGCCTAAAAAAACACTTTACTTTGCATGTCCGCCCTTCACAGAAGAGCATTTTGGTTTTGGTTTTAGTTTTGTTTTGTTTTTTGGTTTATTGTGGTTTTTTTTAGATAAAGTCAACGTAGTGACAAAAAATGAAAAGAGATCTAGGAGTAGGCTGCGGGGGAGGTTCAAGCAAATGAGAAACACTAGTGTCAGGGCATATAAATGGCAGATTTCAAAATGCATTCTGCAGGTGGGAAGGGCTGATTCACACTCTTTCCGAGTTCAAGTGAATAAGCGATTCCAGTGCTATACGTTTCATCACTAAAAAGATAGGTGTGAATGCACTTCAATGAAGGAAAAAAAATAAAATCCCATGACAGCTCTAACTGTGCCCTACACATTGTGACAGAACAGGAAAAAATGAGAGAGGGAGTAGAGGCCATGTGGGCACTCAGAGGCTAATAGAAACTATTGACAGTTCTTCATCTCTTTACTCACCGCCTCAAAAATGCCAACTGACCTCTAAAGAATTTTAAATCAGCTTCAAAACAGATATAACAAAGAGAAATAAATAAGTTTCTTAGCTGGGAAGATTTTTTAAAGTTGATAGGATGGGAGCCAGGAGAGGCAGTTTTCATTATTAGGTTCAGAGCATCTCTTTTCACTTGCTCATTCTTAATAGGAGAGCTGGATACCAGTTTCTTTTATGTGTAAGCCCTGCCTTCTTGAATCATGTTTTTGTGAGCTTTTATACAATTTTTGTTACAAAGTCCCTTCCTATGAAAACAAGTTTGAAGTATAATAGAGTAGCATTGGTTATCAGAGTAGTATGGAATGTTACCTGTACTTTATGGCAAGTTAAGCACCTCTAATACAGAAAGATCTTTTTTAGGAATGGAAAGGAAGTCAAGATAAAGAAATAATTTTGAGTTTTAGGATAAATTACTTCATTATGATAAATACTTGATCGTATATCATAAATATTTTTTCAGCCAATTAATTTCTTTGACTCCTTTGAGTGATTATATACATATATGTAGGTTTATTTATGTGTGTAGGGAGATGGGGTAAAAAGTATGAAATATTCAGAAGCTAAAATATATCATTTCACAGCGGAGTGTAATTGGGAAAGAAACTAACAAGTTTAATTTCAATTAAGTCAAAGGAAATATGATTCAAAGAGGACCTGACAGTAGCTTCAAGAATCCCAGAGTCTGTGTTTTGTAGTGTTGAACGTAATAGTTGCTGGATTGCACTTCAGTGATGATGGGAAATCCTGTAGCAGCTCTTGATGAAGTTCTGCTTGCACATGGAAACCACAGGAAAGAAATCGTAGTAAACATAAACTTTCAGATATGATATTCTATTTGTATTTTCAACAAGTTTCAAAGAACCAAGCAGCTACCAAAGAACTTGGAAATTCTGTTTAGTGCCCAAGAATTCAGAATTCAGAGATTGTTGATGACTGTGAAGTGACAAGTTTATCCCCTTGATATTTCACCCTTTAAACTCTAAATGAATCATATCCATGTGAATGATATGTGATTTAAATGAAATGAATCTCCGTTCCCTCATTTGTGAACAGAAGATTAGAACTAGATCTCCTTGAAACCCCTTCCAGCTCTAAGATTGAATAAACCTACGGTTCCCTAGCTGTTACGCTAGGCCCAAAGTAGGAGATTATAAAGGTAGACACAACCAGAACAGAAAGTGGTACTGACTCAGAGTTCAGTGGATGATAAGCCTTCTGCCTTCTTTTCCTTCATTGAGAGATCTGTCTTTAACACAAAATGTGGAAGGGTTTTGACAGTTTTTCAATTCATTTGATCAATTTAGACTGTCAATTCAAATAGTTCAAATCTCACAGGTATTTGTAATTAGACACAAGTTGTTCGCAGAAGAAAGAAGATAGACCAAAACATCCCATGGCAGATCCTCCAGTTCAGTGTTTCTTTACATGTTACCCCTGGTGAGTCAAGATGAACAAGCGACAAATCTATAAACTCTATCGTCAGGGCTTCATCAAAGTGCCAGCGATGAAAGTTTTATTGAACTTAGACTTATAGTTTGAAATGATATGAAGACAAAATCCAAATACTTTTGGGAAATATAATTTTTTGGTTATTTACCTGCCAGTAGATATGTAAACAAAAATACAGTAAACAAATTTACTAACAGCTATTTCCTATTAGTAAATTAAGGTCTTTGGGCCTTCATATACAAATAATAGCTAATAATAATAATAATAACAACAGTATTATTATTATTTACAAACTACTTATTATGTAAAAGATATTCTAAATGGTCTCTCTCATTTCATATATATGATATATCATATCATATGTTTCATATTAAATGAGAGAGGATACTTATATATAGATACACTCCATTCTTACAACAGTCTTATAAGTATGGTTATCATCATCCCCATTTTGTAGATGGTAAAACTGAAACAAAGTTTAACTACCTTAGGCAAAGATAAACAGCTAATAAATGGTCTTGGAATTTAGTCCCAGGCAGTTTGTCTCCTGAGGGCTTGCCGTTAACCACCATGCTCCACTGCCTCTCTCTATAATTTTAAATACACAGAAGTCACTTCTCCCACAAGTAAAACTATCTTTTGAATGAGACCCAATAGCAGTTGCTATAGGAGAAAATGGAAGGAGTCTTGCTAATGCAGCTCAAATAAAGATGAATCCTAAACTAGGAGATGAACTGAATTTGAGCATAGCTTCAAGATAGTTATGTAATAGCCAGGTCATATTTAAAAACCAAATAGCAGATATATATTAACTATAATATATAGCCATTTAGTAATATTCTGTGTAATACTAGAACCAGTGAGTAGACTGGAAATTATGAATAATTTCTATACAAATAAGATAAGTAAAAAATAAAATACAAAGTAAAAAAAAATTAGTCATTTGTCTTAGTGAAACCAAGTTCATAGGCATATTTTGTGAATCATTGTCCTAGACTTTACTCCTAGTTTCTGCCAATCATCTCACAAATAACTTGGTAACAAGGGAAATCAGAACTGAAAATGAGAATACCATTTAAATTGGCCAATTTAAGCTACTAGCAGATGGTCTGAATGTACAACTCTATATTGAAACAAATTTAATCTCAGAGTGTACACTAAAAGAGGTAGAGATAAACAGCTTAGTAACTGGATTACCTAGTTTTTCATATTCTAAAACATTTTATTTAATAAAATGAGAGTATAGATTTGAATTCCTAAAACTTGAATTATTATAGTACCCTATGCTGTCATTGCTTTATTATTTTTATTTCAAAGCTACAATTTACTTCAAAAGATGAATTTCCAAATAAATATGTGTTAAGTCTTAATTTCTTTATCTATACACAGGATTATTCCGTTTACTGAATCACATCCTGGAATGCCCAATTAAAATACAATTTATATTCTGGGTCTTTCCCTGAACCCCGGCAACTAAATGTACTTTTCCTGAATGTACTAGATGTAATTCCTCTGAATTAATCAAGGACCGTGCCTGCATGATCCTTAAAGCATCATCACTGGATAGAAATAATGACCAGCACAAGGGTGGGAAAGTGTGAAGTTTAGCAGAGAAGAACTAACAATAGATTGGTCAGAGCTTCAGTTTGCAGGAGTGAATGCCTACACCGTAGGTTTGATTCCGAGTGTGCAGGATTAAACGTCAGGTTAAAGGGTTGGGCTCTTATTTGGCCCTTGAAGAGTTTTCAAACAGGATAGGGCTCTAGGACGAATGAGAAGATGGTTTCCAGGCGGGAGAGCCTGCGGAGACCATTGAGAGGTTTTCACAAGAGCCTAAACTGGAACTGGGGCAGCTGGGAGGTGACCTACTTTGTCTTGCCTTTGCCCATGACATAGGGAGAGTTACTTTTAGCCACAGAGAAACAGAAAAACTATTTCATACTATGGCAAAACCTGTGCAAACAAATGTCACACGACAGAAAAAGAAATGTGGGCTGACATGAAAGATTAACCACAGGAAGGACCTGAACTGAATGCCTTCAAAAACAGCAGCTGGGTGGACTCGGTGGTCAAATGCCTCCAGTGTGCTTACCCTCACGTGTGGCTCCCATCCCCCTGCCTAAATGAGACTTCAGAGCCACAGAAGCTCAAAGACCTCCAGGCCTTTGCACAAAAGGAGGAGTCCCTTCAGATTTGGTGCAAATATATATTGCCCATGTTAGAGCTATGTGGACAGTGGG